TCCCACCGGCCCGCCGCACCCCCGCCGCCGCGGCGCTCCCCGACTTCCCCTTTCTCGGCAGGACCAGGCCATGGAGAGCCAAATCCAGCGGGTTCGCGACGCGTTCGCGTCCGGCCGGTCGCGCCCCGTGAGGTTCCGGCTGCAGCAGCTCAAGGCCCTGCAAAGGATGGTGCAGGAGCGCGAGAAGGACATCCTGGAGGCCATCGCCGCCGACCTGTGCAAGGTACGCGCGCGGCGGCCGGGGCCGGGACACCCGCCTGCCGCCGTCCCACTTGGGGACCGCATTCCGCCCGAGCTTTTGCATTTTTTTAAAAATTTATTTTTGACTGCGTAAGCACTGTGGGAGTGTTATCTCCAGCCGTACTGATAAAGCCAGTTTCCCTGGACTTTCCCGAAGCGCTGACGTGGCTTAGTCAGTGCCTCTGATTGCAGAGAACAGAGAAAGCAAGACACAAGTGTCTTCTGGCCTCTGTTCTCTTTTGTGAATTGCCTTTTATATCCCTGCCTGTTTTTCTGTTGCATTTGCGGTCCTTTCCTTTATTATTTCTGAGAGTTGTTTGTATGTTGCGGATTTCGGTAATTTGTCAGCTTAATGTATCGCAAAATGTTTTTCTCCAGGTCTGTTTCTTGCCTTTTGGTTTATGGTTTTCTTTTGTTGACAGAGGTTTTTGGGTTGTCGTTGCTGCGTTGAAATTTTCCTCCCTGACTCTGTGCTTTAGGCCAGTGCTCCTCAAACTCGAGTGCCTTAGTGAATCACCTGGGGATCTTGTTAAAATGCAAGCTATAGTTCAGTAGGTCTTGGAGGGCATCTGAGATTCGAAGTTTCTAACAAGCTCCCAGGTGATACCATGTTGCCTGTTTTGAAACCACGCTTTTTAAAAAGCATCTCATTTTTTAAAATTGAGGTATAGTTGATATACACTATTATATTAGTTTCAGGTGTGCAACGTAAGTGTGCAATATGGCTTTTTTCACTTATTTCCCCTTCTCTGGGTCCACCCATATTGTCACAAATGGCAAGATTACTTGCTTTTTTAGGGCTGAGTAGTATTCCATTATATACATGTGTATGTATCTATACACGTGTGTGTGTATATACCACGTTTTCTTTATCTGTTCATCTGTCAGACACTTAGGTTGCTTCTGTATCTTGGCTATTGTCAATAATGCTGCAGTGAACGTACGGATGCGTAAGTCTTTTTGAATTAGTGTATTTTTTTTTTAAGATTTTATTTTTTAGAGTAATCTCTACACCCAATGTGGGTCTTGAGCTCATACCCCCAAGAGCAAGAATCCGCATGCTCCACCGCCTGAGCCAGCCAGGCGCCCCTTAATTAATGTTTTCGTTTTCTTTGGATAAATACTCAGAAGTGGAATTGTGGGATGGTGTGGTATTAATATGGCACACACCCTAAAATTAGTCAATAAATCTCCTTCACATATGGCCCAGGTGCTTTTCAAACCGCTACATCTGTGCTGAGTGAGTTTGTGTGCAGGCGGCTTAAGAGCAGAGTCTTGGTTTCTTGTAGCCCTCCAGTTCTTCACTGACCCCGTCCCCATCAAGCCCCGCCGATTTCCAAAGCCAGAGTTACAGAGGCTTCTCGCAGGTCCCGAGGGTGGGGACACCTGATGTGGGGCTTGAACCCCTCCCTCTTCAGGGAGGATCTCCATGCCTATGGTATCACTGCTGGCTGTGGGTCCCCGTGCCAGGGGGTGTGCGTTTGGACTAGACCATGTCTCTGCTCCCCCTGCCCTTCTCCATGTAGCTTCTTCTTTATGTCTTTAGCTGTGGAAGAGGTGTTCTGTGGGTCTTTAGGTCGTTCTCAGAGAAGAGTTACTCTATGCAGTTGAAGCCTTGGAGAGTCCGTGGGAGGAGGTGAGCTCAGGAACCTCCTACTCCACCATCTTCCCAAAAACACCTGGAACGACTTTTTGAGTAGCAAGGTGTGGGGTAGTATTTAGGGTGTAAGTATATTGCTCTCTATTTTTAAAAATTTTTTAAAAAAAGATTTTATTTATTTATTTGACAGAGAAAGACACAGCGAGAGAGGGAACACAAACAGGGGGAGTGGGGGAGGGAGGAGCAGGCTCCCCGCTGAGCAGGGAGCCCGATGTGGGACTCAATCCGGGGACTCCAGGATCATGACCTGAGCCCAAGGCAGTCGCTTAACCAACTGAGCCACCCAGGCGCCCCAATAAATAAAATCTTAAAAAAAACAAAAAAGATACACATCAGAGGCAGAATTGCTATGATTTATGAAGTGTGATCAAGACAGGCTAATATTAATCAGGGAAATCTTCCTGAAAGAAGTAATGTTTAATCCTGACTCTAAAAGGCTTGGATCTGGGATACCTGGGTGGCTCAGTCGGTTAAGCA